TCTCCCGATCTTATATATATATATATATATATATATTATCTGCCATGGCATCCATCATAAAGTTATAAAGGATTTTCAGCCTCATCGCTATAGACCATTATCCACTACGGATAACCTTGATGCTAATGTGCTAGTGAGGAAAGTTATGAATATAAAATTTGGGGCAACTAAAAAAGTAATAATAACAAAAAAGGTTATTAAATCAAGACTCAAATCCTGAATTACCAAGCTAAATTTTGAATCATAAAACATAATTTGCATCAAATATAAGATTCAAAGACAATGAGAAATTATTTCTAATATATCATATAAGCAATATATATAGAGTTCATTGTAATAATTTTAAACTATAAATAGATAAAATAAATTAATAATAAGTCTTATGAAATGAAATAAATGAAATAGTTAAATGGAAACAATGCAATGAAATAGCCAAATGGAATGCAGGCACTGAATGAGTGAGTGAAAAATAAAGTAGTGGAATAATCAAATAGCATAAGTGCTTCTTCAATTCCTTTTCATTTAAAAATATAAGATCATGCGACTTTTCAATTTTTTCATGAGAATTGTTGATGAAAATCGTAAACAAATAATTAATGAATCTTTGAATTATCTGATTTGTATGTATGATACAAAATTGCAGAGATCTATTTATGTATCATAAGATACAAAATCATAGATTTATCTTATGATATAAATTGAAAGATAGCTAAATCGTATTGAATCGCAAGACTCTAATAACCATGTACAACACAATACAGACAATTTATATTGGAGAAATTTATAGAAGAGAATGAAGCATCGATTAGAAATAAATACTGTAGCAGAACATACACTTAAAGTATGGGATTACTAAGATCTTGCTATTGTTATTATTGAACATGAGTACATGACTGAAGATTGACATCCTCCATCTGCTAATAGATCAGTCCTATTGATAAGCTTGATTCAGAATGTAGTATTCACTAATATTCATGAATAACTATACACCAATACATTCAACAAATGATTCACCATTGAACATTCTTATCCCTACTACATGAGAATACATATTCAAATAAACTAAAGAGTATATTATTCAATGTTAACGCAACCCAAATTTCCAAACAAACTAATTACATCTCACTCAAATTCATTGTTACAAGCATAGAAGCAAAATAGACACTAGAATTTGCCACAAAAATATTCTTGTAGGTAAAAGAATTATCCCCGTTATCCTTTTAGAAAGATAATATTAAGAGTCATTTTGGGTAAACTTTAGAAACACTTTTAGAAAAAAGAAAAATGAAATAAGTTTTTCATAAGTTAAAATTAACTTAAACATTGTTGGAAAGTCTCACATCACTTGTCTCAATTCTCCGGGCGCAGTTTATATATCTATTGAGCAGTTTCACTTAATGTCAATTTGTTTTAAGCTGAAATTTAATATGCAATCAAAGCCTAAAGTCTATCTTCTTGGTTTGCCTATTATGATAGGCATTGCCTAGTTCTGGAGGGGGAAGGGAAATTTATATATCAGTTGGACAATTTCGCTTAATTTTAATTGATTACAAGATGAAATCTATCAAATGAGCTACTTTATAGAAGTTCTCTCATATTAGTTTCTCCAAAAAGATATTTTTAACTCACGTATGAGCTAGTAATTTTAACTTGTAGCGAAACTTTTTCCATTTTTCCTAACTATCTTTTTATTCTCCTAAAGATATTTTCTCATGTTAGTTTATTAATTTCTCCATAAAGATACTCATGCATAAGCTAGTTTTACCTAAATTTTTGTCCATTTTTTCTACCTATTTTTTTTGTCCTAGAGAGGTATTTCCAGACTAACCAAACAAAACAAGAAAAGGGAATAAATAGAAATGCAACATAAAAACCCATTAAATTTAGAAGTAATAACAACAATCTGAGGACAATTATAGCAGAAGCAAAGCAAGAGGCGAGGTTGTTACCCATCCTAAAAATGATAGAAAAATAAAAAATATGAGTATGTATGCATGGATATGAAAAAAAATGGTGAATCAGAGACATTGGTTACCATGATTCCATGTGGAGCCAATCGGGGCCGAGGTTAAGCATGCGATGGGCCACGGAAGCCAAATTGGCGAAGTCGAAAGAGAGCATCGAAGGAGTGATTTTGGCTGTCACTCCCATCCTTAGCGAAAAGTTCGTCAACTGTGGTTGGTGACAGAGCAGAAAACAAAAGGAGCTTCTCTTCTCTTATTCTGAATTAGGGTTCCGGTCGGTGGGTGGGTTCGTACTATTTACCAGTAACGATATTGTTGATGTCACCTTTGACTTTAACTATTTTTAGGGTGCGATTTTTGACACCGCATTGCAAATTGGATTTGATTCCATCTATACACAAGTTTCACACCAAAAACGTGTGTTACGCTTAAAAGATCAATTAGCAAAAAAAGAAACCAACAATAACAATAACTTTTTCTTATCCATCAAAACTATAATAATTACATTTTAAACATAAAAATATGTGTGTACTTCTTTAAATGTGTGATTAGGTATATTTTCTCATTCTTATGTACGATCAACATAGTAATGGTGAAGATAAAATATACCTAATCACACATTTAAAGAAGTACACACATATTTTTATGTTTAAAATGTAATTATTATAGTTTTGATGGATAAGAAAAAGTTATTGTTATTGTTGGTTTCTTTTTTTGCTAATTGATCTTTTAAGCGTAACGCAAGTTTTTGGTGTGAACCTTATGTATGAATGGAATCGAATCCAAGTTGCAATGTGGTGTCGAAAATTGCACTCTAAAAATAGTTAAAGT